GTGAATATAGGGAAGGAGGAGATAATGATGGTGTGATTGTAAGGAAAATTGTGTAGTGATGAGTGTGGTATGAGGTAAAGAATGAAGAACTAATACCCTCATTTTGGGAGTAATAGTTCCACTACGAGGAGAGTGGATAACTATTACCCTCATTATGAGGATAAAAATTCCTCCATCTCTCACTTTTTTCTTATGGCACAACTACTTTATTTCCTTTGTAAACACCTTGTTTCCTATAACAACCCCTCTAATTACTTATGTTTTTTCAAGTTTGACTTTTATTATCCCCCCAAAATATTACTCCCAATCCTAGCATGGCCTAAGAAATTACATTTTATTGAGAGGTCATTTGGTAATTTAAAACAATAACTCTTATGTAAGGTGGGTGTATGTTAATTTTATTGTAAGACGGTTAGTTTGAGGATAACTATAACTATTTTTATGGTAACGTTAACCCCTTAAAGGATAACTTTTAATTATTTGTTATTGGTTTGAATTCTATTTTAATGTGTAATTTATAGATTCATGATTACAAATTATAAAGGTTAATATAATTAATCTAATACATTATAAGTTTTTAGTAAGATAAAATTTATTATTAGAAAAATAATAACTTTTGTAGTATAAAGGGTAACTTTAAATAGTAAGATTAATTTAACCCGTTTTACAATAAATTAACATACACTCGCCTTTTTTAGGGAATTTGTGAATTCAAACGGACAGTCGAAGATGTTTTAGAAAATGCCAAGATATTCATTGCAAGATCAAAAAAGAATTATTTGTGCCACATTTAATTTGCATTGCATAACTACATCATGTTAAGCAAATTCTTGGTCCATTGAAGATGAAGATCCTGATTTCATATTTCATGAATTTTAGTGTTATGATGTGGCATGAAATTGAACTTTAGACAAGAAGAAATTGAGGAAGTGAAATTAGGAAACTTAGAGAATAACACTACGTAATTATATCACTAATTGATTGAACTCATTCATAGAAAGTGATCTGTTTTATATGTATCAGTAACCATTTATTTTTTATTTCAATTATAGAACCTTAAACAACAGTGTTTTTAAAAACATGGTGGTCTATTTTTTTTAGTTACAACATCTTTCGTTTAACATTTACGATTTATCAAGGTATACTTTTATTTAGAGGTGTCAAAAACTGATCTAACCGATCTAATTCGATCTGACACGGAAAAAAAAATTAAGATTTTGACTCATAATGAATAACGAATAACAAGACTCAACTTTAGAATTAACCCGACCTGACCTTACCAAATTCGACACATGTAACTCATATTGACACCTCTAGTTAAGTCACTTTTGTCTTTAATAATCAATATAGTTAAATTATAAAAGTAGTTGATATTATGAAGGAAAAAAGTGAGACGAATATAATACAATTCCGACTAAATTTTTTTCTTAAAATATAAATCATTAAAGAGAATATAATCAAAGAAGAGTGTAAGAATAGTACAAAAGTCTTGTTATAGTTACTTACCGGCTAATTATCAAATAGGGCTGTAATTATTTTTGTTTTAATTAATAATTTATTTGTTAATGTTTTAATGTCATAGTAAGTTATATATCATTGTGTTTGATTATACTTTTGTTGTTTGTAATAATACATACGAATCATCAATGCTTAGTCATATTTAGTATTTTTACTTGTCATCTGGCTTGTTTGAGTCAGATCATTTGGTAAGTTAATAAATTAATTTTATGATATTATATAGTCAAAAAAAAAAAAAAAAAAAAACCAAAAAGCTATGATAAATAATGGAATTGTATATATAAGTTAATAAATTAATTTTATGATATTATAGTCCAAAAAAAAAAGCTATTATAAACAATGGAATTGTATATATAAACTATCTCATCCAAAAAGGGATGATAATTCATGCATAACACAATGATCATGTCAATAATTGCAATTATTGAGACAATCAACTGATTAAATTACATGATCAATCATTAAAGAAACTTTTGAATTATTCTGAAATATTGCTAGAATCTTATGATATTATACAGTCCAAAAAAAACAAAAAAGCTATTATAAATAATGGAATTGTATATATAAACTATCTCATCCAAAAAGGGATGATAATTCATGCATAACACAATGATCTATCATGTCAATAATTGCAATTATTGAGACAATCAATTGATTAAATTACATGATCAATCATTAAAGAAACTTTTGAATTATTCTGAAATATTGCTATTGTGCTATATATTGTCGGTATGAAGTGTATCTTTAAGATCTATTAGACCAAATTTGTGCATCAATTGTTAGACAATTATTTTTTTTCTTATATATTTTTATGCTAAATTAGGCAGTTAGTTGTATGTCTTTTAACCTTTTATGTCTACATTGATGTTGCATCCAAACTTCTGCTACACATAATATAATAGTTAGGTCCTGTTCACTACATCTTAAAAAGAGTAATATTAAATAAAAATAATTTTAATTTAATAAAAATAAGTCCAGTTTAATAAAATCCAGTAACTATAAAGAAAAAATATAATAGATAATAAGTAAAAATAATTTCAATTCAGCAAAAATAATTTCAGTTCAGTAAAATTAATTTCAGTCCAATAAAAATAATTTAATTTCAGCAAAAATAATTTCAGTTTAGTAAAATAATTACATTTCAACAAAAATAAGGTGAAGTAAACGGGGTCTTATACTTATACTCGCAATGTTGTGTTAAGTGTTACATGTACAATGACAAAGCACAAGACACTGGAAGACACAAGATGAGCAATAATAAATCTCTGTGAAAAGAGGTGTATTTATGCCAAGTAATAAATTCAGTACTTCATTGATATATTCCAAATATCATAGAAACATCATCAGTCACAAATCAAAACATAAATAAACATAACAAAAACATAATTAAACACGATAAAAGCATAGGGGTTTTTTTTTTTTTTTTTTTTTTTTTGACACTAAGCATAGCTAAATTTGACCAAGTATTCATTAATTTATAAACTGATATGAAATGGGTTCTTTTGGAACTTTAAATGCAAAGCTAAATGAGAAAGCAATTAAAAATGCACAAACCAGCAACACACAAGAGTTACAGTGATTCATCCAAAATGAGCTACATCCACTTTAGGGAAAGAAGATAGAGCTTTTATTACTAACTTCAATGGAGGAATGAAAGAATTACAAAAATTACAAAGATGGAACTTGGTGTGCTAATCCTCTCAATGTATTTTTCTCTCTCTAGAAATATTAGGTTCAAGCGTTAAGCTTCCCAAAAATGGCTAAAGAAGAAGTGAGAATAGGACACGTGGAGAAAATCTATAACAAGGGAAGTTTTGCGCGGACGCACAACTTTAACTTGTGCGGAAGCGCAAGGCCCTGCTTCCCCTTCGCGCAGACGAGCTCCTTTAATTTGCGCATCTCGCAAATGCTACTGCCTCGCTTTTAAAATTAAATGACATTTCTACAACCCTTTTGCACGATCGCGCGGGATGAGGCAAGCGCGAACGTGCACTTGATCTTGGCTCTCAAACGAGATGCGTTCTATTATAGATTATGAGGCATACATAACATAAACTTAATAAGACAAAATAAGGCATAATATATAACTAAACAACATATTACCTCCCTATTATATTATGTGTAACATTTACTAAAAATGAATGATATACATTATGTACAACAATTTTTTCCCTCTTTAAGTTGTCATTTTTTTCTATTTCTTTCCTCATCACATACGTCTTTATTGTTCTTTATTTCCTCATTTAGCACCCACAAACAAATTTGTCATGCAAACTCAATTGTTGTAAATAATACTTCGTATGAAATAAAGGTAGTATATAAAAACATAATTAATTATGATAAAGCATTAACTAATTCAAAATTAAACAAAACAAAATCATTAAAAACAATAAGAAACATAAGTAAACTTTTACAAAGATGAGGTGTATGATAATAATTTACTACGCACATCTGTTGTGGAGTTGTTCTAAGATGATCAAAAGTACTTATTATCCCGAAATAAATAAGTCTTGTATAAGGTAGATTTACGTTAATTTTATTGTAAGACGGTCAATTTGTGGGTAATTTTGACAATTATTATAATAACTTTAATCTCTTCTTTAAGAGTAACTTTTAATTTGCAGTGAGTATTGATTATATTTTAATGTATAACTATTGTGTGACCCGGGCGTTACACCAAACATTATTTTTTATTAAAAAAAAAATCTTAAGGAGCTTGAAAGACTTGTTGTTTTTTTATTTGTCAGTAAATCATAATACCATGACAACACTAAATTGTTTTGGTTTATTTTCACTTTTATGATACAATCTAATGTGCATGTATTTATATATTTTTGTAGATTGATAAGACATGAATTATTTGTAACTAAGATGGTAATTAATGTCCTCTTTATTCAAGGAGGTTTAGTGTTCAAACCTCTTTGCATGCATTTTTGGTTAATTATGATGTGAAACAAAGATTGTGAATGATGATGTGGCGTGATTCTAGTGCAAGATGGATACACGTGGTACATTGAAATTTTTAGAAATGCTTTTTAATATTAAGTATAGATATAGATATATATAGATTTCTAATGGATACATGCTATGAAGGTTAATATGATTAATTTAATACATTATAAATATTTTGGGGTAAAATTTATGCTAGGAGAATAGTAACTTTTGTAGTATATGAGTGTAACTTTAAATACTTGTAGAGTAATTTTAACCTGTCTTACAATAATTTAATGAAAGACCGCCTTAATCAAGAATTTGTGTATATTGTACCAATATATATTTCTCTATTTGCAGTTCATGATTACCAAATATACGCAAGTATGAAGCAGTTAGGTTTTACTACTCATTACTGAATGGTTTTACTAATAGAGCTAATTTAATTTTATGGAAATGGATCGGAATATTATTTGTAGTAGAGCCGCATACACTTTATTTGATAATCAATGTGTGACGTTACATTATTTTTTTGTGGCAGTGAGATTCTATTACCAAGAGTAACAAATATATTAAGAGAGTGCTCGCAAAATTAAGAACAATATACAACAAGCATAAAGCACCAACACCTTGGAATTTTTCCAATTTATGATTCCTATGACAAGATGAAGGTGAAAAAAAAAAAACGTAGTAGCTTCTATTTTACCTACCAAACGATGCATCTCTTTGCTTTTAAGAACGCAAAGCATCAAGGAACAAATTTTCGTTGGAAGTCAGGTGCACAAGTGTTGGGAATATATAGATGAACATTGGCAATTTGCCACCCTAACAACATGCCAAGGCGAAGATGTTCAATCAAATCTTCATTAACATCCTCTATTGTAATGCTTCCTTCCTTGACTTTGTGGCAAATTTTCCTTGTTGCTTGAACTATGTCACTTTGTGAAGTGTAACATACTGGAAAGACTACATCAAGTTTTGTATTGTCTTTTGTTGCTTCTTCGACTTTCTTTATTGTGGCTTGAAGTGATTCAGACAACAAGTAATTCTCTCCTATCGCCGACACCCTTACTCCATTCCTGCTTCACAAGGGTTGCAAAAAAAAAAAAAAAAAAAAAAAAAAAAAAAAAAAAAGATAAAGCCAATGATAGGTATACTCCCTCTGTTTCCACTGGAAAACTAGACTTAGTTATTGAATAGGTTGTTTGATACGTAGTATTATTATTGTCTAGCAGTTTGGGTCATAAAATAGTTGATATTATGAAATTAATTAAAGTATAAATTGTGGTGAGCCTGATAAGATCTCATGTGACTATATTTTTCCTTAATCATAAATTATACAAAGTTAAAGTTAGTCAAATTTAAGTTAGAGTACGTGAATAGTAAATTGGTAGGTCAAAGCGTTGAAATTTCAGTAGGACGTACGGAGGAAGTATTAGATAAACATACATCATCTATTCCTTTAATGTTGCAAAATAGAAGTTAAATATGCTTCCAAAAGCACAATTTAACCCTTAATTAACCAAAGTAACCATTGGTTGACTAAGGGTTAAATTGTGCTTTTGGAAGTGCGCGCGCGCATACACATATATATAGGGTTGGGATCTGCTGAGAAGTATGTTCAATGTGAGAAGCGTGAGAAATGTAGATACATCAAAAATACATTAGAGATACGTTGAATACAATATAGGTACATCGAAATTATATTACATAATACATCAAAACTCTAGCATTGAAGGCCATGGCGGAAGAGGGTGAAAATGATTTGAGGCTTGATACGACACTCTATATTGAGCGTAAAAGCATTATACCCTCGATTAAAATACAAAAAACAGGAATTCTTGAAAAATCTTTAAACATCTAATGACTTCCAATCAACAAAATCAATGTCACAATGACAACCAATTGTAGATACATCATAAATATATTGTAGAGACAATGACCACACATTATAGATACATTGAAAATACAAATCTGATACATTGATGATTGATCCAAAATCTATGAGAATAGATTAAAATGGTGAAAATGATTCAAGCTCAACTTAAACATTCGTAGAAAACAGAGGTCCGACAAAAATCGCTCAAATATTAATAACAAATCTAATGCACCTATGACTCCATAATCCCCATTAGAGGACAAATTAGCATTCTTATCTTTATTCTGATTTCTGGGTACAGTCTAGAGGAGAGAGAAATAAGATGATCTAACAACAATGGTAGATCAAATGCTCCAAACTTTTTACTTTTTGTTAATATTAGAAATATTAAAAATTGATGAACCTCAACAGTAGTGTGCGTACTAGTAAAACTGATTGAAGTAGGAATATTCTAGAGAAAAATTGGGATGATCTCATCAGACGCCATGTTTGAGCTCCACAACTTAAATTTCTGGCCTCAGTCGGTGATAGTTGGTGGTGGTTTGTTAGGTGAGAGAATGTTATAATATTGAGTTAGAGGGAAGAAAAATGTGGTATATATGTGAAGGTATGTTCGTCCATCCATGTTTAAATGCGGGCATTATTCGGTAAAATGAGGGCGTCACTTAGCTTTTCGATTTATTTTTTTTGGGGTACAATCACATGAGTTCCGTATGAAAATTTAATAGAGTGACCAGTATTTAAAATTATGTCCACTAGATTACATTGATCGGACGGTTATAAGCGTTTCCCGTGCTTCTCACACCAAGAATACTTCTCACGTTATATATATATAATTGTGTCAAGAGACAAAGAGTATATCAATATTTAGTGTGTTTTGTGTGTAGCTGACCATATATGCGTTCGCTTGTAAAATAACAAAGTAACAACTGTAATACTGACTAAATAACCCCTATAACATTGATCATGTAACTCCTATAACAATAAGGAATTAATCCTCGTAACACTAAACAAGTAATTCCTATAACATTAACGAATTAACCATCATAATGGCTAGCCACACGGTGTGGTCAATTACATATATTAAAGTTGGTGTTCAACGAAATTATAATCTCCTCATAACATATAAAAAAATGAACCAAAATCGACATCAAAGAAGTCTTTATTTGTTCATTTTTATTAATTCTACTTACTTTGCATTATTCTATTTTTGGTTTATTTCTGTTCTCAACTTATCCCTTTGACCTCACACTAATTAGTAATTACACGTCTTTTACACTTTATCTCTTTCTGCATTCATATTTTCTCTTACACCCAATCACTTTTTTTATTTGCTCTCATACTTATCTTAGTATCTTACATGCATGCATTTATTTATTTATTTACTTATTTATTTTTTTAAAGTTTTCTTAAATTGTGTATCAAACTATCAATACAACACTTGAGTAGTACATAAAGTATGAATTGAGTACCTCGTAAAATATTCCAGTTCTTCCTCTAGAAGTGTTTCAAACTGATTTAGACATAAATAAATCGACTTCTTCCTGCAATGTAATATTTTAGGAGTAAGCGTAAGAATAAAATTAAAATGTACGAAGCGAAGTTCAATTCAAGTATCTGCAAAGAAGATTTATCCATCAATTAGTGCTTATTTTAAAATCAACTCGAGGTGAAGCCAAAATTTCAAAATTGTAATTTGCATAGTATTTAAACTTAGCATTTTAAATTTTAGTATTTTTTGTCATAAACTACCTAATAAAACTTAGAATTTGTGAAAAACTACCTAATAAAATAATGTTGTAATAAAACTACCTATTGAAAGGTAAATTGTTGTAAAAGACTATCTATGGCCAGATTTCCATCGTTGACCTAATTTTTCGATGTTGACCCACCACAAAACACCCCCGAAGTCACCCGCTTTCATCCCCAAAACTAACACAACCCGCATGAAATTGCCTCCACCAAGCCAAAACCATCCTGCAACCTCAAAGTGAGCGGTTTCGGGGATTTTTTTTCGTGGGTCAACGGTGAAAATCTGGTTAAAGGTAGTGATTAGGGGATTTTTCCCTACCAATCACCATCTGACAAGTGGACCAATCAGGCTCCGCCATGTGTCCGTCACATGGGCCAATAGGAGCCTGCCACGCGTCAAGCATTGATCTGTCCACATGGACCAATTATGACACGACACGTGTCCTCCTCTATGCCAACCAGGCAGAACGGCCACCTAGGCCCAATCCTTGGAAATAGTCAGCCCTAGGTTAACCTAAACCTAGCATTTGACACGCATCCCAAGGCATATAAATATGCTCATTAATCCTCATTAAAGGAGATTACATTCATTAATTACTCTCACCTAGAGAAAACACTTTACCTTTTTTCCGCATTAATTACTCCTTAAACAAGTACTAACTTGACCTTCGGAGGCGGAGCTCCAATCACCCGGAGTCTCCGTTTGTTTTGCAGGTACAGGCGCACGGTTCCAATCTCCAAGTTGTAACTCTCCCGCAAGACATCAGAAACCCCGAAACAGGTAGCCTTTTACAACATTTTACCTTTTATTAGGTAATTTCTTTCAATATTTTTTATATTAGGTAGTTTCTCACAAATTCTAAGTTTTATTAGGTAGTTTATGACAAAAACTCCTATATTTTAATATCTAATACTTTGTATTTTCAAATGATGTTTGTAATACTTCATATCTTTATTTACATATACCAATAAATTTTAATAGACAAATATAAGTGGATCTTTTATTGAATTGCTTCGTAGGGAATAAAAAGGTGTTTAAGAACCTTAAAATGAACCCATATTTAAAGAAAAATAGAGAATTATTTTCATTGTCATAAAAAAGATAAAACAAAGAACATCTTTATTGAATGACTTTTAACAGACACTGTAATATACAATTGAGTCCAAGGTTCATCTAAAGACATTCTCTGCTCATTTGATGATTGAATGAGTAAAAAAAAAATTCATTGTTACACTTACATCCGAATGCATATAAAATTGTTCAACTTTTAATGGAAGGGTGGCCAAGCATGTATACTTCCAAAAGGGTTTTCTTTTTATCTTTGCAAGTAGTACATGAGTTATTATATGAAGAAATATAAAGTATTTTTAGTGAGATAAAAAACATTAAATATTCTTTTATACGATTATAAGATAAAAAATAAAAAAATAAAAAAATAATAAAAAAAAAAACCTCCATAAGTTATGTACCCTTAGCAAACGACCTAAAAAAAATGGATACCTTGGATCGCATCTTAAAATTTCTAAGACCATACACGTAGGGTGTGACGCTACTAACTTTCCATTTGAGACACTCAATAGACCTCTTCACAGCCTGATAGAAAGGCTTATAATGAAGATCTAGGCCATGGGTTTTATGCCATCTCCTAGATCCATCCAAGGTTAAAGCCACATATTTAGGGACAATAACCTCTTCTTCTTGATTCAAAACTTCTTCACCATTTTGTGCACATTTTGTTGGTGCAACGAAATGACACAAAGATCTCAAATTGTTCTTACTTCTAATGAAGTGATCATATGGGTTGTATTTGGGTAAAATTGGGTTGTATTTTGCTGATGGTTCAACTAATTTTGTAAACGATGCAAATAAAGAGAAGCCATTTACTCGCACCAAACGTAGCATCTTTACTTGGTAAGTTTTGCTACTTTGAATAATAGGTTACCGGCCGGGTTGGAGTATGCATGGACGTATAGTGTTGGTTTTGTGAACCACTAAAATGATCTCCTAATATTTGACCATGTATAAGTGAAATTTTAAAAAGTTGATATTTAAAAATTTTATAATAAGGGGAATCTAATAAGATCTCATATGCTAATTTATTTATTGTATAAGTCATTAAATGTGGTCAAAGTTATTTAATTTTAACCTCATAAATAGTAAGTGAGTTGAACTTTCAGGAAATAAGGTATATATAGATATTCTGTTTTTTTTTTTTTTTTTTTCTTTTTGAATTAATAAGGAGGATCCTGACATGACATCAACCCTCATGATTTATTTATCTAATTGACACTTGAGAATAGAGGGAAGGGTAAGGAAATCCCTACCATAAAATACCCTCATTTAATAGAATTTAAATAGCAAACCTCTAAATTTAAGGTAAAAAAATTTGTTAAAAGAGCCAACACTTTGTTGATATCATGATATGTATAATGTTCTCTATTTGGTATTGCTTTAAAACACAGGATTTAATCCTTCTATCATTATATACAGAAGTTTATGGACACCCTAAAGCATGATTCAGTACATCAACCGACAGGATTTTATCCTCTTCTATATTATATTATTTATATACAGAAGTTTACGGACACCCTAAGGCATGATTCAGTACATCAACCGCTAATCATATCTTTAATAGGGTGCCCATAAATTTCTAAAAAGTAAAGATAGAAAAATAAAATATATGATGGGACGTATTACCAATTAAAAAAAAAATACATGCATATTGCTTGACTGCTGTACAGATGTATAATTACACACATAGGTTCAAAACTCATCATTACTAGAAAACAAAAACTAGAGACAATTAGACAAGGTTGACCCCCACCACAAAAACCAATTCGGTCCATGTTAATGTTAGAGGACCATCTCAACCAAAAGTTTAAGCTGATGGTTGAGGCTCATGAATACGTTTTATACTCTATCACGCCCCCTCACACAAGAGCTCATTGGGCTAGAAGTGTGGATGCAGTATGGGTCCTCCTCATACCCAGCGCTTAATATTCCACTTGAAAGTGCGGGGTGGATGAGATTCAAACCCGTGACCTTTGTGTCACGTTGGCTCTGATACCATGTTAGAGGACCATCTCAACCAAAAACTTAAGCTGATGATTGAGGCCCAAGAATACGTTTTATACTCTATCAGTTAATTGACAATAATACTCTTTGGACAATGTTGTTCAAAAAGCAGCATATCTGCATAAGAAGTTAAGGAACAGTAATTTTAATGTACATCCTAGCATATGTTTAAAAACATTAGGGATTTTCTACAAAGTAACCTGTTAATTTCACTTTTTTACGTTGTGTTTCAATTTATATGACTTTCTACATGTAACCCTAATATACATTTTGTTTTCATACGGTAACCTTGTCGTTAAAAAATTTTGTTAATGGGGCCCACTCTCCATTTATTAATATTTTTTATCGATTTGCGCTATGGAAAACTTCCATGTTTTGGGGGCTATTTTATCCCTTAAGGTTCCAAATTGAACTTAGATTTCACAAAAATGTAATGCAAATGCCTCGTGTTGCTTATTAAAAAATATCTCGATTTACGTGTTCACGTTTTAATAAGCAAAACGAGGCATTTACATTTCTCTTTTGTGAAATATGAGCTCAATTTGGTCCCTTAAGAACTAAAATAGCCCCAAAAACCTTTAACGGAAGGTTTTCCAACGCGCAATTCGATAAAAAATATTAATAAATGAGTGGGCTCCATTAACGGAATTTTTTAACGGCGGGATAACGCCAAGGTTACCGTATGGAAACAAAATGTATATTGGGGTTACAGTGTAGAAAGTCATATAGGTTGGGACACAACGTGTGAAATTAATAGAGTTACTATATAGAAAAACCCAAAAAATTATAAAAAATCCTCTTAGTGGCGCTTATTTATTTTAAACACAATTTGAATTTATTTATTAATTTGTGCACATAAAAGTTTAATAATTGATTGTATATATAAGCGGTAGTGATATTGCTGATATACACACATCTTTTATTACACTTTCATAACCAATGTTTATGAATAATAACTATATATCAAAAGAGACACTAGTAATGACACGTGTCATTTTCTAGTGTGTCTCTTAGTTCTTTTTAAATAATCTATTAAGAAAACAAGTCTTATACATAAATAAAATAAAACAACTAAAAATTACTTAAAATAAAAGATTTGATGTAGCCTTTCATAACAAATAATAGCAACTATAAATCTAAGGGAAAAAAAAAAAATTATAACGAATTCTTAACATGTGACATACTGAACATAATGTACAACTGCTAAATAACGCTCCCATTTTACAGGACATTGCTCCTTTTTTGACATGGAAGGACGATATTGCCCTTTGTGTAAGTTGTAGTATTTAATGTATAATATCATTCCCGACCCCTCCACTTACTACCACGTGATAAAAAAAAATTCCCGACCCTGTCACATTCGATTCAACACCAAAAATCCGAATTTTTTCTAAAAAAAATTTATTAAGCTTTAGCGATGGGTTTAGGACGATGGATGACGACAACGATCGTACACCGGAGGCATCGTCGGAGTATTCTGTAAGTCCTCGTACTTTTTTTATTTTTTGAAATAAAAACATCCGCCTAAAATATTAGGATCCACCAAGGTAGATCTGTAAATTTAAGGCGGGTCTCCACATCCGCCCAGAATTTCCGGATCTTCCTAGGTTGATCCCGAAATTTTAAGCGGATCCATCTAGGTGGATTCGGAAATTTTGGACGGATCGGTTTTTTTTTTTTTTTTTTTTTTTTTGAATTGATTAATTAATCAAATTTATTAATGTAAACTTTGTAGTATTATTCTAATTTTTATTGTGATTATTATTAATTTTGTGATAACTTTAGTAATTAGTATTAGTATTTTATTATTGTTCGTGATCAATGTTGTAATTTTTTGCTTATGTTGTTATTATTTGCTCATTTAATCTCTCAAAAAAAATTAAGTAAAATCTGAAAAAAAAATAAAAAAAAACAGGTAGAGTTCCGCTTGAAATTCTGGAAGCACCAAAGAGGATCCGGAATTTTTAGGCGGATCCACCACCGAACATCCGGAAATTTGAGGCGGATGGGTAAATCCGCCTGAAATTTTCGGATCATCCTTGGTACTTCTGGAATTTTCAGGCGAAACTCTATTTTTTTTTCCATATTTTACATAATTTATTTTTAGAGAGATGAAATGACAGTGAAGTGAGTTGTGATTTCAAAAATGAGTGTTGTGAGTGTCGTGAGTATTTATTACGAAGGGTAAATACGAAAGTTCATATAAAAAATGCGAGCGGTGCCTGGTAAAATG